AATTTCTGTTTAATTAACCTCTTCATTTTGTATAGTTCCCCTTTCTGAAATTAAATGGCACAGTTTTAGATATCTGTGGTGTTTTTCCCACCACAAAGATGTTACATTTAATTAATTCAATATTTTCAGTTGGTCCAGCTACATTCACCTCCTGGACCAGATCCTCTGCTCCAATTGGGACTAAATCAAGAATTGCTTCTCCTCTTGTGGGTTCTAGAAACAGCTGCTCCAAGAAGCAGTCATTGAAGGTATCAAGAAACTTTATCTCTGCATCCCATCCTGAGGTGGCGTGTACCCAGTCAATATGGGGATATTGAAATACTCCAATATTACTGTTTTTTAAATTTTGATAATATCTCTCTAATCTCCCTTACCATTTCATAGTCACTATCACTATACTGATCAGGTGGTCTGTAATATAGCCCTGCTGCTATGTTTTTATTATTAGAGTATGGAATTGCTGTTCATAGAGATTCTATGGTACAGTTTGGTTCCTTTAAGTTCTTGACTTCATTTGATTCTATGCTTTCTTTCTCATATAGTGCCATTCCCTCACCAGCATGACCTGTTCTGTCCTTCTGACATATATTGTATCCTGGTATTTTTGTGTCCCATTGATTATCCTCATTCCACCAAGTTTCTGTGATACCCATTATATCAATAGCCCTTTTTAATACAAGGCACTCTAGTTCACCCATATTTAGACTTCTAGATTTGTATATAAGCACTTAAAAACTATCTGTGATAAGACGTACACCAGGCAGGCAAATCACCATGCGCTTCTCCTGGACATCACAAATCCAGCTATGTTTCTAATGATTGAACACCTATCTCTTCCTAATAACTGGAGTTCCCTCTCCTGTAGAAATCCTCAATTTGAGAGGGTACCACAAAACCATCTGGAAGGAAGGTTCCACTCACCAGCACAGAGACTGTCTGACTCGCGGTGGCACTGCTCTACTGTGTCCTGGACAGTCTCATCTATGTACCTTTCTGCCTCCCTTAGTGCTTCCAGTTCAGCAACTCTGGCCTCTAAAGCCAAGACATGCTCCCTGAGGGCCAGGAGCTCCTTGCAGGGAATATGTAACCCACACACCTAGGGAGGTTACTTTTGGTTCTTGAAGAAAAAGGCTGTTTCAGTCTTCTCAAGCACTGTTGCTTTGATGGGCAAACGAAGGTTAAAAAAAAAGTCTAGAATGGCATCTTATTACCCAAGGTAGGGAGAGCTTCAGTTTACAGTGGGTTTATCTTGACATGTGCAGTTGATGCAGGGGTCTGACGGTCTCTGCAACTGCTGAATTTTCCAGCCCTAGCTCTTCTTAGGATACATTTACACAGCAATTAAAACCTATGGCCTGCCTGAGCCACCTGACTCAGGCTTGTGGGGCTCAGGGTAAGGGGTTGTTTAATTGCAGTGTAGACACTCAGGCTGAAGCTCAGGCTCTAGGACCCTGTAAGGTAGGAGGGGCCTCAGCAGGAGCATTTACAACACAATTAAACAAACTCTTAGTTCAAACTCCACGAGCTTGAGCCAGCTGGCATGGGTCAGCCACAGGCTTTTAACTGCCGTGTAGACATATGCCCTCAGTACAGTTTGCATCTATTTAATTGTCTTTTTGCTGGATTCATTACTTCTTTTCACATTGAACAAATATTTTGGGCAAGAACCCAATGGAACTTTGCTCATTTATACTAGGTAAGGCTCTGGTCTTTCATATCAATCATTTTCAGCTACCATAGCAAAAGTACAGCTATTGAATTTTGAAAAAATGATATAATAGCTGCACGATGAAACAAACAGCAAAAGAAACTTGAAATACAGAAGTATATGGAATCAATATACAATTCCACAGTTCTGAGAGAATATTCTAGTAATAATCTACCCACTGATGCATTTCATTAAGAGTAAATCCTAAAAGACAACCTATGTGATGAGTGAATTTGAAAGGGTTGTTAATGTTGATTTAGTTGGCTTGTGTATGTTGAGAGATTACCTCCATAGATCACAAAGAAAAAGAACAGAAAAAACAAAAGAAGTTCACACAACCATGAGATACCATATGCATAAAAGAAACAATAAAGAAACTGAAATCAGTAAAAAAAGGAATAGGAAACAAAATATTTTGTAGATAACTAGTTCTATTACTTGCAACTATACCAGCTAACAAATAGATTTAAGTATATTTTTAAAAATATGCTACAGCATACTTTTAATCATTTTTAGTATTGAATCTATATTTGAATGAGAAACAAATGGAATATATAGTCAATCTGTTATGTATTCTGATTTTTATTCTGTGCACCATTTCTTTCTGACAGAGGCAATATTCTGTCAAAGTTAGACAGAACACTATTTCCTTGTTGGATGCTACAGATGTTGCCACCTGCAGTTTAAAGTAAAATATTTTTTACACATAATAGTGTTGCTCTCAGTTTTGCTGATAGATATTTGCCTCTGATGTATTACTGAAGTCATACAACTCAAAAATTGTGTGCAATCTTGGCATTACAACAACAGATGCATATCCTGTTCCATTCAATTATATTATTTCATTATGTTTTTTTATGTATAGATAGGACCAAAATATATTGCCAATATCAAATTTAACCTTTAATTTTTTACAGATGCATCAACTATTGCAGTTTTTAATTCACATTATTTTACTTTAGGTGGTTGTCAATGAAGAGAATGAATTTTTAGCTTTTCTTCACAGACACAGTCAGGACCCCTTATAGGATTGTGAAGCCCAAGAATTTGCCACGCAGTTTGCTGCAGAACTGTGCTCCAAAATCTATGGCCATGGCTGTGTCACAGGAATTATAGCATCATAACTACAGTGCCGTAGCTATGTTGCCATGAACCCAAAGCATCGATACAGCCTGGAGCAACTGAAAGGATTTTTCTGTCACTGTAGGAACAATGGTAGCTAAGTGGATGGAAGGATTCTTCTATCTACCTAGGGTCTGCATCTACTCCAAGGGTTAGGTCAACATAGCGAGGGCACTCACAAAATGGATTTTTCATCCCTCTGAGCACCATAGCTATGTTGAACTAAATTTTAAATGTAGAAGAAGCCTACGCTTTCGTTTAAACAAAAAATGATGGTCCTGTCTCATCACTGCATTGCTTGATCTTTAACACCAGTTTAACGCCACAGATTTCACTGAAGTGAAGCTGGAGTAACACAGTGGTGAATCAGGTCATATGTTTTTAGCCTTCTGCATTGCAAAGAAAGGCTTGAAAATGAATCTACACTACATAGCCATTGCTGACATAGCTAGGGGTAGCAGTGCCCCTCAGGTAGACGTAGCCTATATCAACATAAAGCATTTTTGTATTGGTACAAGAGCATCACCTCTTCAAACAACATTAGCTACATCAGTAGAAGCACTCTTTGGTCAACACAGCTAAGTCTACTCTGCGGTTTTTGCTGTGTAGACATCTTTGTCAGGGTTGTTTGTTTTTTTTCACATCACTGATCAATGCAGCTCTGCCATTATAACTTTCATAGCCTGGTGCATACTCAAAACTTAGGTCAACTGTGCTACATCTCTCAATTTTCAAAAATCCACACTCCTGAGCAACATGCTTAAGATGACCTAACACCTGGTGTAGACAGCTCTAGGTCAACAGAAGAATTTCTCCAAAGACTAAGCTACACCAACTGGGAAAAGTGGATTATCTATGCCAACAGGAGAACCCATCTTGTTGACATAGGTAATGTCTTCACTGATGTGCTGCAGCAGTGCAGCTGTAGCTGTGTCACTGTCGCATTTCAAGCATATACAAGTGCTTTTACAGTGTTAGCTCATCTTCAGCCTGTCCCATACCTGGCTGCCAAAACCTACCATTTCACCCTGACATCTTTTATGAGGCAATTGGGTGCTAGAGGGTGGCTGTGGAGATTATTGGTAGGCCTGCCAGTAGATGCTGAGCACCCACTATTTATTCCTGTGGGGCTCCAGTCGTAGGGCACAGACAGGATCATGCCTATGTCAGTGCTTAGGTTGATCTAAGTTTTAGGTGGAGGCCAGGCCTGATGGAGTGCCATCTAAAAATAGACAATAACCAAGTGGTTTCACCTGAAAGGTGGAGGAGGAACTTGAACTAAGGGGGGAGTCTCCCGCATTCTAGGTGAGAACCCCTGGGCTGAAAGTTACTCTGGAGCTCCACCTCTCCCTCCTCACGCCTTCGCCAGCTTCTTGCTAAAATGGCATAGTCCCCTAACACAAAGAGAGGAATTTCCAGGCAAAGGGAGGTGTCTTCCTAAGCCACAGACTTAACCACCTTTCTCCAAATGAAATTAATAAGTAGCAGGTTTAAAACAAACAAAAGGAAGTTTTTTCTTCACTCAGTGCACAGTCAACCTATGGAACTCTTAGACTTTAACAGGGTTCAAAAAAGAGCTAGATAAATTCATGCAGGATAGATCCATCAATAACTATTAGCCAGGATGGGTAGGAATGGTGTCCCTAGCCTCTGTTTGTCAGAGGCTGGAAATGGATGACAGGGGAGGGATCACTTGATTATTACATGTTCAGTTCACTCCCTCTGAGGCATCTGGCCTTGGTCACTGTTGGCAGACAGAGTACTGGGCTAGATGGACTTTTGGTCTGACCTAGTATGGCCGTTCTTATGAACTGCCTAATGTGCTGGCTTTTGTACCTCTAATTGTAAGGTGCTCCTCTTTATCTCTCCCCACTCGTTGTATGCATGGAGTCTATGTGCTGAACTGAGGATTTGGGAATTCCAATGATTGTTCTGCGTATCTAAGAGTTAGGTATGGCAAGACTCTGGGACACTACTGCTAGGTTCGTTTGCGAATCTAGCCCATTGTATATATATTATTCCAAGTAGAAAAAAATCTTTTGGGGCTTTAGAATTCAAAATCCACTGGCGGCAATGAAGACTGAAAGAGGAGATGGGATCAAAATTCTCTTGTCAGGTTGTTTACTCCATGCCATATTGTAAATATAAACAATTGATAATTTTCTTCTAGGAGTATCAACCTTGTAACACCAATCCCTGTCCAGAGCTGAAAAAGACCACCCCTTGGACGCCTTGGACTCCAGTCAATATCTCAGACAATGGTGGCCACTATGAACAACGATTCCGCTACACTTGCAAGGCACGCTTGCCTGACCCAAATTTGCTAGAGGTGGGAAGACAGAGGATTGAAATGCGTTATTGTTCCAGTGATGGTACCAGCGGATGCTCAACAGATGGTAAGCAGAGATAGTACAAGTGAATAATAGCACCCAGTAGACAGATTAGTGGACAGTGGTATAATACAATCAAGTGGCTGGAAATTGATGTGCGTTTTTAACAGTGAGATTAATCCAGAATTGGAATAGTTTACCTAAGTATTGTAATGAATTTTTTATCACTAGTAATTTTTCCATTCAAATGAGACAGCCCTACACACATGCTGTGCCTGTCGGGAGGGGGGGTCTGTATACTCCTGAATGAGACAGCCCTACACCCATGCTGTGCCTGTCGGGAGGGGGGGTCTGTATACTCCTGAATGAGACAGCCCTACACCCATGCTGTGCCTGTCGGGAGGGGGGGTCTGTATACTCCTGAATGAGACAGCCCTACACCCATGCTGTGCCTGTCGGGAGGGGGGGTCTGTATACTCCTGAATGAGACAGCCCTACACCCATGCTGTGCCTGTCGGGAGGGGGGGTCTGTATACTCCTGAATGAGACAGCCCTACACCCATGCTGTGCCTGTCGGGAGGGGGGGTCTGTATACTCCTGAATGAGACAGCCCTACACCCATGCTGTGCCTGTCGGGAGGGGGGGTCTGTATACTCCTGAATGAGACAGCCCTACACCCATGCTGTGCCTGTCGGGAGGGGGGGTCTGTATACTCCTGAATGAGACAGCCCTACACACATGCTGTGCCTTGTACATATGCTTTAGTTCAAATAGGAAATAATTCAGGGTCATCCTTTGGCTTTGTTTTGTGGGCAGTCAGACAAGCTGATCATTCTGGTCTTGGAATTTATGAACTTGCTAGACCAGTGTTTCTTAAACTATTTAAGACCGAGGAATACCAAACAATAATTTTTTTTCTGAGGAACACCAAGGATTTTTGGTTGAGGGGAAAAAAAAAAAAGTCGGGGAGGAAAATGGTCGGGGAGAAAGTTATTGAGTTATTGAGCAAAAAAAAAGTTGTCCACGCCTTCAGGGACGTCCATTTTGAATTCTGTTGTTCTCTGCGGCACACGCCGGTGTATCTCGGAACACAGTTTAAGAAACACTGTGCTAGACCAATGGCTGTAATTCCAGTTTCATGACAGAGTGAAGATTTTTACTTGGTGTTTTTCATAGTATTACAGAGTTTAAGGCCAGAAGGGATCACTGGCTCATCTATTCTGACCTGCATGTATATCAGAGGCCACCAACACCGCCCACTGTACACACACTAAACCCAGCAACTGAAATTAAACCAAAATATTACAACCCAAAGGTGACTAGATTATTACGTTCCACAGGGAGAGAAGAGAAGGGGCCTAAGGTGCACCAGTGCCTGAGGCCTGAGAAAGGCAGGGGTATGTGTGAGATATATTCAGATTGATATGGCAAGTGACCTGCAGCCACTTGCTGCAGAAGAAGTTGAGCTCCCTTCCCCCATCTTACCTGGAGGGAAATTCCTTCCTAAGCCCACGCAAGACAAAAAGACTGACCTTAAACCTGTGAGCAAGAACCAGACAGCCAAATATCTGAGGGTATGACTACACTAGCCCCCTAGTTTGAACTAGGGAGGCTAATGTAGGCATTCGAAGTTGCAAATAAAGCCCGGGATTTAAATATCCCGGGCTTTATTTGCATCTTCCTGTCTGAGCGCCATTTTTAAATCCCCCTAGTCTGAACTAACTGCCGCGGCTACACATGGCAGTCAAACGTTAACTCGAACTAAGTCCTTAGTTCGAGTTAACTGTTACACCTCATTTCACGAGGTGTAGACATACCTTGAGAGAGAGAATGGTCAATGTCACCTCAGAGCCCTGGCCTACCCCATCCAATGTCCCATCTCCAGGTCTGGCCATACTGATGGTACAGAGGAAGGAGATTTAAAAAAACAATGCATTTTGTGGGAGATCTCTTCCAGATTCCTGCAGATGGTCAGCTGAAACCCTAAAACATGAGCTTTTAGGAACATCAGACAGAATGCTGAAGTGAGCCCTCAGGCTGTTGAGCCCTTCCTCTTACCAGGACAAACAACCCCATCATGCAATCTCACTCATAAATTTGTTGAGCTCATTTCAGAAATGTTAATGGGAAGAAAGTAATAGATCAAAACAGGTAAATTGGCTTCTATTTCTTCAGGCTGGACTTAATATCTCAGGATAACACATGTTTTTAATTTCTGGCTATAAGACTTGTTGGTGTGTGTCAGATGTTCTTTCTAGTAATTAATTCATCACAATGATAGCCATGAAATTGTAAAATAATTTTTGAGATTGTTCTGTCATCTCTTTCTCTCTGCTGTCTTTTGGGAGAGATTCTGACAAATTCTGTTTTTATTTTATAAATATTTGGCTGTACTATAACACTGATGATAAATGAAGCTTTTTAATGAATAATTAAAGAGCAACAGATGACTGCATGCTTATGACAATTAGCTAGACAAATACTTTATGAAGAGGATAACTTCTATTATTAATGTTTTATAGTATTGAGCTATCACCAGGATTTAAAGTTCTGTTTCTGACTACAAAGGGAAAATGACCCCCTTCAATGTTATTTTTAGCTATAGATGCATTTTACATACAGAATTTATTCAAATTTTCTGCTTGTCAGTAGCCACTTAGTTATTCATAAACTGATGTTCAGTTGAAGTCCACCCTGATTTTAAATTATTAGTTATAAGATTCTTAATTTCATTGTTATTTATTAGTAGTTATAAGAATATTTTCCAGTTGCATATCCTTTTACATCTTAAAGGGTTTTAATCAATTGATTATCACAACAGCCTGGAAAGATAAATATGCATAGTCAAGTGGGTAATCCCACTCTGGCACTCCAAATGCAGAAGGCAGGGACCTGCAAGAGACTTTAGAATACCTTGCCACTAAAAGCTTTTGTTTAAAAACTCCCCAACGTCATAAATTCCCTGTCCTTGGCTTGGTATCATTGCCACCACCCAGATGCAAAAGCACCCAGGAAGATGCATTTAGGAATTCCTTCCCATGGAGTACCCTCAAGCTCTTTGACCCTCCCTCTGGAGAGAACTTGAGAAACTGTAATTTTTCCTAGTAGCATGGCTTGCAGTCTTAGGGTACGTCTAGACTACAGGCTTTTGTCGACAGAAGTTTTGTCAACAGTATCTGTCGAGAAAACTTCTGTCGACAGAGAGCGTCTAGACACATTCAGTTCTGTCGACAAAGCAAGCTGCTTTGTCGACAAAACCCTGTAGTCTAGACACAACCGTACATGCAATAACACCTTCTGTCGACAGAACTCTGTCGACAAAAGGCGTTATGCCTCATAAAATGAGGTTTACCAGCATTGACAAAACTGCTGAATTCTGTCGACGTTATGTCGACAGAACTCAGCGGTAGTGTAGACGCAGGTATAGTTTTGTCGACAAAAGTCCACTTTTGTCAACAAAACTCTGTAGTCTAGACACACCCTTCGACATGTGCACACAAAACCTTCTGTCTTCAAGGATACAGGAATCAGATCATAGTCTTGAAAGGGTGATTTTTATTAACAAAACAAAGAAAACACACGTGGTGAAAGAATACCTGTTTGTTAGATTATTAGATTTACAGAGCAACTGAAAAAAAGGATTAAAACATAGAATTGCTGGGATTCAGTGGTAACCTGATCATGCCTGACTAAACATTCCGGCTGTATCTAGACTTGGCAAGTTTTTCCGCAAAAGCAACTGCTTTTGCGGAAAAACTTGCCAGCTGTCTACACTGGCCGCTTGAATTTCCGCAAGAACACTGACTTCCTACTGTCTGAAATCAGTGCTTCTTGCGGAAATACTATGCTGCTCCCGTTCGGGCAAAAGTCCTTTTGCGCAAAGCTTTTGCTCAAAAGGGCCAGTGTAGACAGCTCAGATTTGTTTTGCGCAAAAAAGCCCCGATCGCGAAAATGGCGGTCGGGGCTTTTTTGCACAAAAGTGCGTCTAGATTGGCACAGACCCTTTTCCGCGTCCGTGCCAATCTAGATGCTCTTTTCCGCAAATGCTTTTAACAGAAAACTTTTCCGGTAAAAGCATTTGCGGAAAATCATGCCAGTCTAGATGTAACCTCCCTGTTCTACTTACATATCCTAGTCCTTCATGAATCTTCCATGCCTTGGTTTCCTGGCTTAACTCATGTCTCCCAGTTCTGCTCTGGTCACACATTAACAGGAACAGGAAGCTCACTGCTTCCAATTCAAAAGCCTACACTCTTTTTCCATTGGCTCTCCTCACCTCCTGCCAACTCCCATTCTGCTTCCCTAGCATTCCTGGAGACTCTCTAGGACCACTGTCTATGGTTTTAACCCTTACTGACAAGAAAATTAGGTTTAGGTTTCAAGAGTAAACCATAGTGAAAAGACTAACTGAATAGCTGCAAGTATCAGAGGGGTAGCCGTGTTAGTCTGAATCTGCAAAAGCGATGAGGAGTCCTGTGGCACTTTATAGACTAACTGAAGTGTAGGAGCATAAGCTTTCGTGGGCAAAGACCCACTTCGTCAGATGCATGTGACGAAGTGGGTCTTTGCCCACGAAAGCTTATGCTCCTACACTTCAGTTAGTCTATAAGGTGCCACAGGACTCCTCATCGCTTGAATAGCTGCAATGTCTAGAAAAGGGTATTACCCCTCCCATTCATCATAGCATTAATAACTACAGTAGCTAAGCATATTATTTGCATGGTTACAGTTTTTTTTTTTAATTTTCTACGGTGATATGCACTTGTAAGGAAATTAACATCTGTAGACAAATGTAGAGCTATTTCATTCCACTTCTGGCAGTACAGTCCGTCACTATATCGGTGCCTGGAAATTACATCAACTTTGTCTGTTTCTTTAGTTTGCATGTACTAATGATAGGGGAATTGTAAATATTGCTCTCTTGTGGTTATCTATGCAGCCTTCATCTGTTATGTAGAAGCTTGCTTATTACTTCTAATCCTTGCATAAGATTGGGGGAAAATTAATTATCACAAAAAGAAAGTCAGTCATTTCAGTAAGAGAGACTCTGGGAAACATTTAATTGC